TAACCATCACCTTTACCTGTTTCCATCTTTCCTAAACAGCACATACATTTAATACCTGCATTCCAGTTATAATTATTCCACTCTCTCTGTTATCCATTCTATAACCAGTTTCACATCTTGCACCAGTAGTTCCAGTTCCTCCATCTTATTCACTAGACTTTTTCAATTAGTATATAAATATCTCAGTTGTTACTTTGACTTCACCCAAATTCCTATCCAGATTAGATCCAGTCCTTCCTTTGACTATATCGCCTACCTGACTACTGCTTTGCTCAATATTAATATTCTCTTTCTCCTCTTATCCCACTAATTTTGATATTCATTTATCCATTGCTCTATCTTGATATTTTACCCGCTTTTCTTTCTGTGTTACAGATTTCCCTGGTGTTCCAGACTCCATTTAAAGAAAAAAAAGGAAAGAACGTTAACATCTGTGGGCGAGAGAGCTCCTTAACCAACACTTGGGTTTAAGTTTTGAGGACCTAATTTAAACATGTTTCTTATGTTGTTTATCTATGTTACTAATGGACTAGAAGGTATTTTACCATAATAGTACCATATTTTTCCTGTGTCCAAACGCTCTCAAGTAAGACAAGCACCTTGTTTTTTGGAAAGCAGAATGTACAATCCCCTCCCTGCTGGAGTTGTGGCTGACTGCATGACAAAGAGCAAGTGCTCCTGGAAATAGTGTTCAGGAAGAGTGACATCCTAGGAGAGTCTAGGTGAAGCAGCAGGAATTTTCCGGTGTGACAGGACAGCAACAAGGCTAGGCTCCAGATCCGCACAAGGGCAGCAGCAAGACTGTTACTTCTTTACTGTAAATATTCTTTATATAAAGCCTTGTAAATAATGTGCTGTTTCCACACCACAAGGGTCATTAAGACACTACAGACTGCAGCTCACTTGCCTTACGCCAGTGCAACTGCTCAACTACCAGCTGTAAGAGATAAAATGGGACTCCACCTATACTGCTTACTGGGCCACAGAGAAGCTCTATACATACTAGGAGTTACCAAAGGGATACAGACTGTACTTTATTCCTCCCTGCTTCTACTCCAGCAAAGTCAGACTCCCACTTAAGACATGTACTCCAATTGTCAAGGGCTTGTTTTCAGGGGGGGCTGAAGGGGCATAATGCAAGCAAAAACAGATAAAAATACATCATCCAGCTTTTTCCAAATACCAACAATAATATGTATTAAAGACAATATCTATTTAAATATTTAATGGAGCATACGGAGAAAGAGCCATAACAATCATCTGAAGGTTAGAGAAAATGCCATGCAACAATGAGAAACTTGTGTACTGGCTTGGGTACTGCCACTCAGCATTGCATTAACCTAAGCCAGCTTGCATTAACTAGCACTGGATAGTGTACCACAGCCAACCACTTCTTCCCTTGCACAACACTGAGGAAATAGAACAGATCAGCTAAGAAAGTTGTGGAAACTCCATTATTGCAGGTGTTCAAGAATTGGACAAGCATTGCTTAGGCACGTTCAAGAAGTATCTAGGCCTGTACTCT